GTGTCTGGGGTCATGGACCATCACAATATAGTAATATTGGACATCATTCCATATTTAGGAGAAGGAAACTAACAACAACAAAACCCTGTGAGGAAAATAAAGAAGTCTTGTTGTTGTTGTTGGGTTTGTTAAGGGCCACCTATGATGACGCAGGAGAAGACAAGACAAGAGAGTTTACCTATTAATCAATCAATCAATCAGTCAATTCAAATTCAAATTCAAATTCAAAGTTTATTCTCTATAAAGATTACAATGTTGAATTTACAGAATTTGGTTGTTGTGTGGTTTACATGTAGTTAAATAATGATTACAGAGTGTACCACTAGAACTCCTAGCATGGCTAGGCATTTCGGGCAGACTTAGTTTAATTCTTAATTTTAAAATATTACAAATTATGAGGTAAGTTGGTATTATGGCTAAGTGACTAAATACTAGTTTGTGAGTTTAGCAATGTGAATGCTTTTGTTTTGGCACAGTACATAGTTTCAGTATTGGAGTATCATAGGATTCATTATTTTAAGATTGAGATTAATATTTCTGTTTATGGTCAAATGGGTGAGTGAGTGTAATGTGAACCACCAGGTGGTATCGTGTAGTTTGTTGATGGGGTGTATCAGGGAGATAAGATGTTTTCTAATGGTAGTTTTGAAGGTGATGAATGTGTCTGCAGTTCTAGATTCTCAGGTAGGGTGTTCAGATTTTGGGGCCTTCGACATACATTGAATTTTTGTAAAGGTTTAGTCTGACAGGGGGAATGTCGTAGAGATGTTTGTGTCGGTGTTATCCCTGTTGGTTCTGTCACAACTATCAAGAAAGCGTTTTAGGCCCAAGGTTGATATTGGAGTTTTAAGGTCCTGTAGATGTAGATTGCACAGTAGTAAGTGGGGATGAACTGAACGGGGAGTAAGTTTAGATCTATGAAGAGTGGGGGGGGGGGTGTTGCCAGGGATGGGATTTAGTGTTTAAATTCTTACTCCCAAGCTTTTTGTTGGGTTATTATTGGCTTTAGGTGTGTTGCTGCAGTTGTTCCCCAAGCAAAAAATAGCATAGGTGAGGTAGGATATATAAGTGAATGGTATAGTGTGATAAGGGCAGTTTGCGGCACGTAGTATCGTATCTTGGAGAGGATCCCAACCGTTTTGGATACTTTTTGGTTATGTTTTGGGATAGGGGTGCTGAAATTCAGGTTGTTGTCAAGGTATAGGCCTAGGAATTTGCCCTCATTATGTCTGGTAATTAGAGTGTTGTCGATCTTAATGTTTAATTTGTGCATCTCCGCTCTGCTACCAAACAAAAATAAGTAGGTTTTGTCATGTTAAGCGTAAGTTTATTGGCTGTCATCCAAGTCGATATTTTGATCAGCTCCTCATTAACAATGGTGTTGAGGTGGCAAGATTAGGGTGAGATATGACATAAGTCGTGTCGTCAGCAAAGAGAATGGGTTTCAGGTGTTTGGGATACTTTGGAAGATCATTGATGTATATGAGGAAGAGCAGGGGACCAAGGACACTTCCCTGCGGAACTCCAGTATCAAGGGGGCCCCGGGTTTTTGATGCTGTGTCTTTAATGGTGACATACTGATTACCTGGGGTTTACCTGAGAGAGTTTCCGGGGTCAACGCCCCCGCGGCCCCTCTGTGACCAGGCCTCCTGGTGGATCAAGCCTGATCAACCAGGCTGTTGCTGCTGGCTGCAAAGCAAACCAACGTACGAGCCACAGCCCGCTGATCAGAACTGACTTTAGGTGCTTGTCCATGCCAGCTTGAAAACTGCCAGGGGTCTGTTGGTAAGGGTTTGAAATAAGCAAGCGCATGGGCCTCTTATACCGTAATGGTCAAGTTGTGGAGTAGGATGTCGTGGGGCCACTGTGTTTAAAAGCTTTTTCTTAGGTCAATAAAATTCCTAGTGGATATTCCTTATTTTCCAATGCTGTGTAAAGCAATCTAGCATTTTTATGATTGCATCATTAGTGCTTTTATTTTTCCTGAATCCAAAATTTGGGAGGGGTTGAGTATGTTTTGTGTTGTTATAAATGAATATATCTCCTGTGCACGAGTTTCTCAAAGATTTTGGATAGCAATGGTAAGTTTGATATTGGCCTATAGTTGTTTAAGTCTGTAGGGTCACCACCTTTATGTATTTGGGGTAACCCTTGCCATCTTGAGTAGTTTCGGGAAGGTGCTAGTTTCTAGTGACTTGTTAAAAAGAAAAGAAATAGCATGCAAAAGGATAGGGCCGCTCGCTTGTACAGTAAGGTGGGACATTAGACAGATTCCCTGATTGTTTTTAAGTGACTTTAAATCTGGGTGATTTCCGAGGGCTCAGTTGGTAAAAATAGAAGGTTTTTGGGGAAAATTCCCCATCTAGAGTCCCCGCAGGGGCATTGGTAGGGGGGATTTTTTTGGGGCGAGATTAGATCCTATGGTTGAAAGAAGCCTTTTTATTTCTTTGTTTGCTTGTTTTTTGTTTTTTTTTTCATTAGGTTTAGTTGGAAAAATTTTTTTTTTTTCATTTGGGGGCCCCAAAACTGAGAGAGTTTTTCCATCTTTTTTATATCTTTAATGTCTGTGAATTACTATAGTATTTTGTTTCTGTCTTTATTATTTTGGTAGCGTGAAAATGTTTAAAAATTCTTTTTTTTTTTTTTTATATTTTTTTTTATTTTTTTTTAAATTTTTTTTTTTAAAATTTTTTTATTTTTTTTTTATGGGACAATTTTTTGTTGTATAGTCTAGTAATTTGTTAAAAAAATGTCTGTCCATCATAAATACCTTTTTGGCCTTGGAGAATTCTGTGGGCCGTCAAAAATCTCGGGTCACTGTGAAACTTCCTTTATTGAGGCCTCGTCAGGGAGTCAAATGAGATTTTGTGAATTCAAATGGTGGTTTCAAATTTTTTGTCAGGGGGAAGGGTAGGGTAGTGGTCTGTAGTCATCTGTGTTTACCCCTGATTTAAGGGGGGCAGTATTTTGGGGCCCATATGTGGTCTATTATGGTTTTTCACTTGCTCAGGAGCCGGGTTGGTTATTATTTTTGGGGTATAAAGTGGTTGTTCATATTGGATGAAATCAGTTACAGGCTGATCATCTAGAACCCAAAGGTTGATGCTGAAGTCCCCAGCAAGAAAGGGTGGTGCTTATTCATTTGTCTGTTTTTATTATGACTTTAATTTCTCACTAAAATTTTGGATTTGGTGGGGATCCGGGTAAATGGCACCGATTGTTATGGGTGTTTTAAGGGTTTTTACAGAAAAATTAGAAAAAATTTATTCCCCATATTCATCACAAAAGCAAGTGGGCAATACAAGAAAATTTGGGTTAGAGTAAAAATTGCAATACCCCCCCAACTTGGTTTGGTCTGCAGTTTGTGAATTGCGGTAACCTGGTAGAGGTAAACTATTGGTCCTGCTTAAGCCAGGGCTCAGTAAGAAAAGCAGGAGAAGGTGTCTTTTTGATTTAAGGGCCAGGGGGTCATCATAGTGTTTGCTTAAGGACCCCGTTGTTGTAGTTAAATATGATAGACTTTTAGCATTGTTTAGGATATCTGGCTTGTGTTGCTGTGTAATAAAAGGGAGTTACTTTTCCCAAAAGGTTTTTATTGGGTGTCAGATTTTGGAGGTTTAATCGGGTCAACGTAATCAATCATCTTCTAGTTTTAAAATTTTGGTTATTTAAAAATCCGAGTTTTGTGTTGAGTTTCTAGTACTGATATTGTAGGGTGGAATTTTTGGGAAAGTATATACTAAGTAATTTTTGGGCATGTAGGGATAGTCACTACTACACATAATGAAATTGATGTTGTCTATGTGTTTGGGTGGAATGAACTAAAGTACAACAAAGGGATAAACAGTAAATAAAAATACAAATTTAAAATAGAAAAAAGACTCTCACTGAATTGCACTAAGGTCTAATATAAAGCTTTGTGGAGTCTTGTTTTTTAGCTAAATGAGCAATAAACAATTTTAAACTAATAAAAAAAAAATACAAATTAAAAAAACACCATCTCTCACTAGTTTAATTTCACTATGGTCCCCAATTAATGAATTTGGTATTTCTAAGGAAACTGTGTTTAATCTAATAATAAAAAAAGGGGACAAGACTCCAATCAAGTTTATTCCTATAAAATTACAATGAGGGGGTTTTCAGATTCTGGTTATTGGTGGTTTACAAGTAAAAAATACTATTTTCAGAGGGGGCCCCCAGGACACCTAGCTGGCTAGGGATTTTTGGGGAGACTTAGATTAATTCTTATGACGAAAGCTTGAAGACGGTCACCAGCTGTATATACTCAGGGGGCAAGGATAGAAAGCTTTAAAAACGGGCCAAAAGGTATTATACGCAAAGCAAGGATGACTGAATGCTTTTAAAACGGTCACCAGCTGTATTATGACGTCAGGAGTAAGGATGACTGAAAGCTTTTAAGACAGTCACAAGCTGTGTTATGACGTCAGGGGCGAGGATGGCTAAAGCTTGAAGACGGGCACAGCGTATTTTACGCATTACAAAGGGTACTGGAACTTAAAACGGGCACAAGTTTGTATTATGACGCAGGGCAAGGATACTGGAAGTTTGAAGACGGTCATAAGTTGTATTATGGTCGGAAGGATACTGGAAGCTTGAAGAGGGTTTACAAGCTGTATTATGACTCAGGAGCAAGGCGAAGGAACTTGAAGACGGTCACAAGTTCATTATGATGCAAGCAAGAATACTGAAGTTTGAAACGGTCACAAGTTGTATTTGACGTCAGACTGTGGAACTCTGTTTTCTTAAGAACTGCAAGAAACCCCTCTCGCTGCCCCAAGTACACTATGGGGGAAGAGCTTGGCAGGGAAAATTTCCCCGCACTTAAAACAACGGGTATAGCCCCATCCATAAAGTGGGGAGCAAAGATTGCTAAGAATAAGACAAATAGCTTGACTCCCACATCAAAAAACTTTTAAAGAGTGCTAAGAAGCAGGTTGAAAAATCACCGGATTCCCAAAATCTGCACAATCCAGGGCAACATGGGTTCAGGGCGGGGCGCTCCTGCCTTTTCACAACTACGGATCACTATGACATGGCCTTGGTTTGCACGGAAAAAAATTTCAGAAAGCAGATGAAAAAATAAAACAGACTTTGCAAAAGCATTTGACAAATGCGACCCAAGGCGAAATAGCCCCAAAAAAATACTTGCTAAAGAAATAACTGGGAAAGTGGGGAAGGGATCTTAAAATTTCCCCAAACCAAATCGAACCCAAAGAGTATGGTCAACAGAGTTAAATGGGAGGCTGCCATAGTGAAGAGCTCTGTTTCCAAAAAGGCACAGTACTCCCCCCCATTTTAAAATTTCCTTTAAATCCCATACAACATAAACAAGATATAACAACACAGAAAAAATGAGACTAGCCCACAGGGAGCATTCAAAAAAATTTTAAATTTCAAAAACCCAAAAACAAAAGGGGGCCCAAAGTAAACCAAGCCCCAAACCCAAAATAAGCGGGGAAAAAATAACTAAAAAACACAGCCCAAATTTTAATGTCAAAAAAACAAAATTAACTCGTGGCACCCCGAGTTCACAAGGCTTTTTCCTCTAAAAAAAAAGGGGGGATAAGGGTAAAATAGAAAGAGACAGGCGCCCCCTTTTACGGGCAAACGGAAAAAGAATAACAGAGGGGGCTAAAAAGGCAAAAATATTTTAAAGCGCAGGAGCCCTTTGGTCAGAAAATAGCAAGCACGAACTTAAGCAAAAAAAAACCTTTAGGATCGGGAATCGCGGGAAGAACAAAAAGCTAAAAATAAATCGAAAAAAAACCCAAAGTATTTCTTTCCTACCCAAAAATAAAAATCGAAAACCCAATGCCCAGTAAGGGGCCCCTTTAACTTAAAAAAGGGAATGGCCCCTACACAGAGGACAGCAAGGAAATGGTGGCTACTAAAGCCCCAATATGACCCCATTTTTAGCAACCGCAAAACCAGACTGGTCAAATCAAAATTTAATTTTTTATAGAGACCCCAAAAAATTTGATTAACACAAGCCAATCCAATGTTATCCTGACGCCAAATGATTTTGAACGGGGCGATAAAAGACATGCCCATCACTCTCCCCAAAGGGCCCCGACTCATGGAACCGTGTTCATCAAAAACTGGGAAGAAGCCCCCCATCACGAGCCTTTTCCTCCCTTTTGGAGAGGGAAACATTGGGCCCGGGGTCGTCCCCCAGTTTCTAAAAAAAAACAGACATAGGGCCCCCCTCCACATAAGGGGGGAGTAAAGAAAAGCAAAGAAATAAAAGACCAATAGCACAACATCCCCTATCATAAAAAAACTTTGAAAGGGTCCCCAAGAAGCAAATCACCACCCCAAAATCCATGAGTTACACACCCCGGGCAAAATGGGTTTTGAAGGGCGCTCCTGTCTGTCCCCAGCTTAAATTGGGTCACTACGACAAGGTCCTAAAAGCACTAGAAAACAAAAAGAAGCAGATTTTAAAAATACAGACTTTGCAAAAGCCTTCGACAAGTGTGGGCCAGGCCCTAATAGCGCCAAAAAAGCGCGCTAAAGGAATAACAGGAAAAGTCGGTCGATTGGGTCTAAAATTTTCCCCAAAATAACAGAACACAGAGAGTTTTCGTCAACAGAGTAAAGTCCCAGGGAAACTACGGTGAAAACCCTGTTTTCCCCAAGGCACAGAAATAGCTCCCATCTTTTCCCATCCTCCCCAAATTTTTTCCCACATAACCCAAAATTCAGCCACAGCACCCTTCTCCCTTTGGGAGATGACACCCGAATCTCATGAAAAGTGTCTTCCATTGCAGCACTGCAAGGCTTTCCCGGGGGACAACAACCAAATCTTTCAGTGGGGTGCAAAAACAATATGGAAATTCAACATGAGAAATTTCAATTACTCAGATAAGGGAAACATGAGGGAAAAAAAAAACTTCATCAGAAATACAAAACAAAATTTTGGCCCCGAAAAAAGAGCGAAACCCCAACGTCAAAGACCTGGGAGTGATTAAGTCAGGATCCAACCCCAAGGACCATAAAATTGTATCAATCGCATCTGCTAGAAAAATGAAAAGGATGGATTTTGAAACCTTCAAAAAATAGGGAGGCCAAGCCATGATGACACTCTTCCCGGTCACTTGTTCTATCTAGGCTGGAATATTGCTGCACCTAAAAAACCCCCTTTTTAAGGCAGGTGAAAAGGCCGACCTAAAAAATTTTCAGAGAACTTTCACGGGGCCATCAAGGGGGGGGATAAAACACCTCAATTCTTGGGGGCGCTTTAGGTTTCTAAACCTGTAATTCCCCGGAACCAGGGGGGAGAGGGTACATGATTATATACACCTTGGGAAAATCCTAGAGGACTATACCGAATTTGCACACGAAAATCACTCACTACGAAAGCAAAAGACGGCAAACGATGCCCCATCCCCCAATGAAAAGCAGGGTGCCCACTAGCACGTTAAGAGACGGGGAATACAAAAAGGTCAGGGGCCCGAGACTGTTCAACTGCCTCCCGCACACAAAGGGGGATTACCAACAAAACCCCGGGCAGTCTTCAAGCGGGGCACTGGGACAAGCACCTAAAGTCCATTCCTGATCAGCCGGGCTGTGGCTCGTACGTTGGTTTGCGTGCAGCCAGCAGCAACAGCCTGGTTGATCAGGCGCTGATCCACCAGGAGGCCTGGTCACAGACGGGCCGCGGGGGCATTGACCCCCGAAACTCTCTCCAGGTAAACTCCAGTAAACAGCACCGTATCATCCTTTGCGGATGATACTAGGATCTGCATGAGGCTGTCATCTGCTGAGGACGGGGGTTAACCTCCAAGAAGATATAAACAAAGTTTTCCAGTGGGCAACGGTAAACAATATAAATGTTCAATGAGGACAAATTCCAACTACTCCGTTATGGAAAACTGGAGGAGATAATAACTAGAACAGAGTATACTACTGACTCCGGCCATACAATAGAGCGGAAAAATAATGTAAGGGACCTGGGAGTAGTAATGTCTGAGGATCTCACTTTCAAGGATCACAACAGTGCCACTATCGCACGTGCAAAGAAAATGATAGGATGGATAATGAGAACTTTCAAAACGAGAGATGCCAAGCCCATGATGATCCTTTTCAAATCACTTGTTTCTCTCTAGGCTGGAATACTGCTGTACATTAACATCTCCATTCAAAGCAGGTGAAATCGCAGATCTAGAGAGTGTACATTTAGTTAGTTTAATATGTTTATTATGCACCCCATACCCATCCTGTGGGCGGTAGTCAAAAGATTACAGAGGTACATAATGGGTCCAGGACTGGGCCTCAAAGTTTTGATAGCTGAGCAAGTTACAGAGGCAATGAATTCACAATTTACAAAGGTAATGAACTCACAATTTACAAAGGTAATGAACTCCAGGTAGGTCTAGTCACAATCATTACAAGTTACAAAGGTATTTACAGATTACAGAGGTACACAATGGGTCCAGGGACCGGGCTCCAAAGTTTTGATGGCTGAACTAGGTACAAGGTAATGAACTCACAAGTTACAAAGGTAATGAACTCACAAGTTACAAAGGTAATGAATACTGTAAGAATGGTTACTTACGTTTATACATGGCTGCAATCATGAACAAATTTTAGAGTAATGAGCAATTCACACTTCCACACAGTGTACAGAGATCCTTTACTGCACGTATAAGTTCTGTCAAGCACCTTAACTACTGGGAACGCTTGGAAGCATTTGACTTGTACTCTTTGGAACGCAGGAGGGAGAGATATATCATAATCTACACTTGGAAAATCTTCGAAGGAATGGTCCCAAATCTGCACACAGAAATCACTCCCTACGAAAGTAAAAGACTGGGCAGGCGATGCAAAATGCCCCCAAAAAAAGTAGGGGCGCCATTGGTACACTAAGAGAAAACACCATAAGTGTCCGGGGCCCAAAACTGTTCAACAGCCTCCCATCAAGCATTAGGGGAATTGCCAATAAACCCCTGGCTGCCTTCAAGAGAGAGCTGGACAGATACCTAAAGTCAGTGCCGGATCAGCCGGGCTGTGGCTCGTACGTTGGACTGCGTGCGGCCAGCAGTAACAGCCTAGTTGATCAGGCCCTGATCCATCGGGAGGCCTGGTCGTGGAACGGGCCGCGGGGGCGTTGATCCCCGGAATAACCCCCAGGTAACCTCCAGGTAAGGATGACTGGAAGCTTGAAGACGGTCACAAGCTGTGTTATGACGTCAGGAGCAAGGATGACTGAAAGCTTAAAGACTGTCACAAGCTGTATTATGACGTCAGGAGCAAGAATGACTGGAAGCTTGAAGATGGTCTCAAGTTGTATTATGACGTCAGGAGCAAGAATGACTGGAAGCTTGAAGACGGTCACAAGTTGTATTATGGCGTTATTAGCAAGGATGTCTGGAAGCTTGAAGACGGTCAAAAGCTGTATTATGATGTCAAGAGCAAGAATGACTGGAAGCTTGAAGACGGTCACAAGCTGTATTATGACGTTATTAGCAAGGATGACTGGAAGCTTGAAGACGGTCACAAGTTGTATTATGACGTCAGGAGCAAGGATGACTGGAAGCTTGAAGACGGTCACAAATTGTATTATGACGTCAGGAGCAAGGATGACTGGAAGCTTGAAGACGGTCACATGTTGTATTATGACGTCAGGAGCGAGGGTGACTGGAAGCTTGAAGACGGTCACATGTTGTATTATGGCGTCATTAGCAAGGATGACTGGAAGCTTGAAGACGGTCACAAGCTGTATTATGATGTCAGGAGCAAAAATGACTGGAAGTTTGAAGACGGTCACAAGTTGTATAATGACGTCAGGAGCAAGGATGACTGGAAGCTTGAAGACGGTCACAAGCTGTATTATGGCGCCATTAGCAAGGATGGCTGGAAGCTTGAAGACGGTCACAAGTTGTATTATGACGTCATTAGCAAGGATGACTGGAAGCTTGAAGACGGTCACAAGTTGTATTATGACGTCTGTGGAAAATTACATTTATCTGTATGTAACTCATAATGTACATACCAGTAAATAACAAAGATAATTATTATTTATCAGAGTTACATAGACAAGTAGGAATTTGGGACACCTAGGTCACAAAAAATGTCCCCCTTTGATACCTACAACTGTCATATCCACAAGTTGCTCTAGACCTATTAATTACAAATGAAATATACATCACCAGGAATTCTGGTAAATACATAAATGTATGGAAGAGGGTAAGGTACCTAGGGATTGGCAGAGAGCATGCATAGTTCCTTTGTATAAAGGCAAAGGGGATAAAAGAGAGTGCAAAAATTACAGGGGGATAAGTCTGTTGAGTATACCTGGCAAAGTGTATGGTAGAGTTATTATTTGAAGAATTAAGAGTAAGACGGAAAAATAGGATAAACAGATGAACAAGGAGGCTTTAGGGGTGTGTGGAAACCCGGTGTTTACAGTGAAACATAAAGTGAACAGTATTAGATAAGGCTAAAGAGGTCTTTGTGGCATTTATGGATTTGGAAAAGGCGTATGAACAGGGGGGATAGGGGGGCAATGTGGCACATGTTGCAGGTGTATGGTGTAGGAAGTAGGTTACTGAAAGCAGTGAAGAGTTTTTACGAGGATAGTGAGGGTCAAGTTAGAGTATGTAGGAAAGAGGGAGATTATTTCCCAGAAAAAGTAGGCCTTAAGACAGGGATGGTGAGTCAAAACCCGGGTTTTAATAATTTAAAAGATGGGGTTGTAAGAAAGTGAAAGCGAGGGTCTTTTCAAGAGGCGTGGGTTAAAATAAAAATCACACATAAA